TCCCCTCCCCACCTCCATTTGTGCTCCCCCGTCTCTCGGGCCGTCCTCCGATCCTCCTCTTTCCCTCCTGCGTTCCATCTCCGTTGCCGACTCACTGCCTGTGGGCGGGTGCTGCTGCTGCCGCTGCCGCCGCTGCCGCCGCTGCTGCTGCTGCTGCCGCGTTCCCGGTCCCCGTGGCGTTCACGATCTCTGTCTCCGTGGCGATCACGGTCTCCGTCTCCGTGGCGATCGCGGTCTCCATCTCCACCACGACGATCCCGGTCTCCATAGCGTTCTTCTCCACTGTATCGGTCACTCCTCTCGCTGTGGGGGTGATGACTGTCGTGGCGTCCCCGGTTCTCCCCGTGTCTGTCCCGCTGGGTGTCTCTCTGCGGGGGAGGGGCAGGCGGGGGGAAGTTGTGTTGTGGACTGGGTTGACTGGCCGGCACAGAGCTCAGAGAGCCAGCGCTAGTGAAGCCAGGCATGGACATGGCAGCGCCCTGGGACCACTCAGAGCCGTTGGCAGACTCTGTGGGCACAGAGCTCAGGCTGCCGGCGCTGGTCCAGCCTGACGTGCTGTTAGACTTAGTGCTGAGCTTTGGGGGGCCGCTGGACGCAGCAACAAAGTGACTCTTGTACTGAGACTAGAAGAAAAGACATTGAGAGGGAGAGATGAGCTGCCTGCGAGGCAAAACAAGAAGTACCTACTTTAAATCTTGTTGTGACAACACAACATTCAGAGTTGGCTAAACAAGGGTTTCTGTGCTCTCATCTTATGTTGTGGTGTCTGCCATTTTGTGGCCAGATGCTGAATCTTTTGCTTTTTAAAAATCTTTCTTCCGCCATTGCTGTTTGAACGTTTCTACACCTGAATAATAACACAACAGTTTTAGTTGTAATAATTATTACTCTCTCATCCATAACCCAAGTATCTATAAAGTCACACGGTATTTTAGTGTAATTTCAAAATGTTTAAATTGAAAGTATGGAAATACTTAATTTCATAGCAATGGAAGTAGAGAAAAAAACAATATAACATTTAAAAACGTTTACATTTTTTTTTTTTTTAAAATGGCAAGAGTAGAGAAAAATAATACAACTATCAATAATGGTGATATTAAGTTAAAGAAATAATGAAGACATACTAATGAAGAGAGAGCAGCAGAAAGCAGAGTTCTACTGTAAACTCTACTGTAAAGTCCCCTGAGACAAATGTAACATTTGTGATATTGGGCTATATAAATAAACTTTGATTGATTCTACCTGGAAGGCTGATTTCATCGCAGTCATGCGGTCTCCCATTGCCCCAGTTGCTGGTTTGCTGTAGCTTTCAAAGCTACTGCTACACAACATTTTGCGTTCCTGCAAAAACAGAGAATTACTCACATCTCCATGAATTTTTTCTAAACACAACCATGAAAATAATATTTAATACAGTCAGAGGAACAATGTTTACAGGTTTCACTTGAAGTTTGATTATATTTGTTTCATCTTATAGTGCTTAGTAATTCCTAGGAGTCCGTTACAGATTTAGAGTGGTGCAAAAAGTAACTCACAGAACTTTCAGCCCCAAGGCCTGGTCTCTCTCTGTAACCAAGACCACCTCCGCCAATATTCAGCTTCTTCCCTTTACCACTCTTGAATCGGGACTTCCTAAACCAGGGATTCTGAGGAAGAATGTGAACAAAATAATGTTAAAACATAATCTCCTAAAAACCAATAGACTTACTGTTCTGGATTCTATGAGTTCTCTATCTCACCTGCATGGCTAAATCCATCAGTTCTTTGGAAACAGCTTGATTAGCTCCCTCCAGATTTCTCACGAGGTCACCAGCAAATGTGGTGTCTTTGTTCGTGAGGAGAGTGTAAGCAACACCTTTCTCTCCAGCACGACCAGTACGACCAATCCTGTGTGTGTGTGTGTCGATGTCTCGTGCCACGTCGTAGTTCACCACGGTGCGAATGGACGGGATGTCCAGACCACGAGCTGGGGAAGAAATTGTCAAAAGATGGTAAATTTAGGCCTGTACCAGATAGCTTCATTCACAATTTTTGTTAGTGTCAGTTCAGGTTTTCTGCACAGTTGCAGACAATATTTAGGGTACACAGATATTGTACCTGTGTTTGGTTTTAGAATTAGATTCCAATGGTGGTTGAGTAGGATTATTTCAAAAAATCTAAAATCTAGACTCAATCCTTATTTAAAGCCCTAGTTTGATTTATGAGTTGATATTGGTTTGTAACTCAATACACAGAACACCAAACTGTCACTTCCCAAAGCATTTAAAAAAAAAAATGTGACCCTAATGTGTTTTGCTCATATAGAAAGGATCAATGAAGGAAATTAATAGAAAGTAGAAAACCTTTCCCATCTCCATCACCACCTTCTCTTGCACTCACCAGCTACGTCAGTGGCAACTAGGACGGGCAAATTCTGTTTCTTGAAGTCGCTGATGACTTTGTTCCTCTCACTCTGGTCCATGTCTCCGTGCAGGAGGCCCAGGCTGTGGCCCTCCTGGGTCAGGTTAGCGGCCAGTTCGTCACAGTTTGCCTTCTTGGTGACGAAGATAAGGACCGAGCCGGAGGAGGTGAACTCCACCAGCCGCCGGGTCAGCCAGTCCCATTTATCCGCCGCGGTGCGCAACATCTCCACGATCTGAGTGACATCCTCATTTGCCTGGTCAGAGAAGTGAGGACATTCAAAATAGTGCATAAGCATATTGTCAAAGTGTGTTTCACTTTATTGCCTTTTATTGAACATTTAAAAAATAAAAATGGTACCGTAATTTTCGGACTATAAGCCGCGCCTTTTTCCCCATTTTTCGACGCTGCGGCTTATATAACGGTGCGGCTAATCTATGGATTTTTACAGCTAACGGCCACCACCTTTAACTCTATGGGCTCTATGGCCGGTCCGCGGACCCCCACCTTTAAGCGTCGGGTTCCAGCAGGAAAAGCTGGAGGCCGGAAAAGAGTGAGACAGGTAGCGCGCAAAATTAAAAGTGGAACCGAGAGTGGTATGCCGCTGCTGCGGCTTATATTCAGGTGCGCCTTATAGTCCGAAAAGTACGGTACTTCCAAAACATTTTGCGGCCATAATCAGGACAGAATAATGTTGTATTCGGGCAATTATAGGTCAAGACACCACATTAGGTTTTTAATCTTGGAAATTAGGAGTTTTTTCTCTGAATATTATCCCCATTGTGTCTGACATTTTTTCCTCTAGCCTTTAACATTTCCTAACATGTTGTTGTAGTAATCTAACAAAAGGAATAAATCAGCATAATTATGTGTCAATTTTGAGTATCTGCAGTTTCAAAACAATTCTTGATGTTTGCAGATAGTGTGATGCTGCATACCTCTCCGATGTCTCCCTGCACCACTCGAATAGGATCTACCAAGATGTCTCTGGCCAGCCTCTCTATCTTCTTTCGGAAAGTAGCGCTAAACAAAAGGGCTGCGAAGGAAATATGAATTATAAATTAGGCCTTGAACTTGAAGCTTTGCTACCAATGACAATGACACATCGTTCTTTTACTTAAGGAACACCACTTACTCTGTCTGTCTGGACGGACATGGCTAGCAACGGATCTAACCTGATATTCTGAAAGGAAAAAGAGAAATGAGCTACATTGCACATAGCTTTTAAAACATCTTTGATACAATAACGATCAAGCCAACTCACCAAAGCCCATATCAAACATGCGATCTGCCTCATCAAACACCATGTATGACACTCTCTGCAGGGACGTGGCCTTCTTCTTAACGTGGTCAATCAGACGACCCTATGCACACACACATAATCAGTAAATATCTAATTTTGCTGCAGCTGTGGAGCTGTTTCTCCTAGAAGGCATGTCAAAGACAAAAGTAGGTTATCTCTTCTCTTACCGGAGTGCACACGACAATCTCTGCTCCCTCCTGCAGAGCTTTGGCCTGCTCCCACATGCTGCCTCCTCCATAAACCGCCACAGAACGCAGAGAGTAGGCTTTCCCAAAACGCTTGCATTCTGCATGAATCTGGCAAAGTGACACACAATAGTATTTTTAGATAAGACTAAGCAAATATCTTTTTTAGATTTGACTTGGTTCCTTCCCAATGCTTACCTGCTGACAAAGCTCTCTGGTGGGACACACAATGATGGCGATGGGCCCTTCCCCTGCCTCCAGTTCCTTTTGATCCATGATGTGAACAAGCATGGGCCAGATAAAAGCAGCAGTCTTACCACTGCCAGTTTTTGCAATTCCTATCATGTCTCGTCCAGAAAGAGCTATGGGCAAACCCTAAAAGCCAAATTGAGAATAAAAAAAAACAACAATATTTTTGAATAAAATAGTGAACAAAGAACAAACATTTAATAAATATAATACAATAAACGTGTACTATACTTGGCACTGAATGGGCGTGGGCTGAGTATACTCAGACTTGCGGATTTGGTGCATCAGCTGCTCATCAAAGCTGAAGTGGGCAAAGCTCGTGCAAGGTTTTGGAGGGACAGCACCAGATACCTGAAAGAGACGAAGTGATGAAGAAATGATGATGACAACAACAGCCTGTATGATGATGAATGCTCATGTTACTTTCACAGCAACTAAGGAAAGAAAGAAATGCCTAAAATTGGATTGGGGCCCAGTATAAAATTACTAAATCAGCATTATAACTATCACATGTGTAGGATTTGAGCTGTATAACAAGTGTACATGAATCCCATACTTACCCTTAGGTTCAATTTGTGCCTTAAGTCGAACACTTGAGTTGCATCCAGGCAACTGAGCTCTTCATGCTCATTGTAGAAGTTTTTCTCAAAGGGTGGGTAATCAATCTGTAGACCAAAAGACAAAAGAATCGCAACATAATCACTCATTAGACACAAGTTAAAGACATCAAATGTTGAGCCATGGTTGAGACAGCACTTTTAAACTGTCTGGGCTCAATCAGTAAAGGGTTAAGCGTTCAAAATGTATTAGACTGATATGGCATTTTTCTAGCCCAGGGCAATACTTATTGCTAAACCCTTTAGTCGGGTCAACTGTACCTCAGAGTGGTCAATGGGAGGAAGCGGCAGGATAATTTTCTTAGTGGTAGGGGCTATTGGGTTCCCATCACTGTCATAGTCAATGTTTTCATCCTCGTCCTCTAGGGTCAGCCCGGCTGTGGGGTTCTCTGCCATGTAGCGGAAGTAGGCTTCCTGCAGAGAGCAAAGCTTTTCAAGTAAAAAACCGAGCCGGTGTGCTGCTCACCGCAGCGTCCAGGCGCCAGTAGCTGACAAATACCTGAGGGGACATTCAGCTCAACAATAGGACAAATTATTCACAATCTCTTATCATCAATTCACATCACTGAATTTCTGACATAAATCAACAATTAAACATGCTTTCTTCACACTTTTCAAACAATAATATTCTATAGAAGGAAAATAAATGTATCATAATAATCCTAAAGGCAACCTGCATGGTCAGACAGAAGGGAATGCAGATGGCTTTCTAAATTAGAGAGGGCAGATTTAGGTCTGAAGACCTCTCTGATCAACGATGTAGTAGATGAAGAACTTTGGAGGGCTCACTCACTTGTTCATCTTCTTCTTCAATGTCATCACGTATACCCCTGAAATGACAAGCGGAGAAAAAAAAAAACTTCCCTGCGGCTCGTTGATACACCCAAGACAGACCACATCCCACTATGACTAAGTTCAGTGCTTACATCTTATAAAGATCTTATATCTTTAAAGCCAGCGAAACATTGCTGGATGTGCCAGGCTTTGTGCCAGTAATTGTAGAAACTTAAAATATAATTTCTGCATAAAGCTTAATTGCTTTTTGTAGTTAAGACAGTGAAACGTACATACAACTTGACACTATAGTAAATATAATATAGTGGCTTATAGTTTAGCTCACAAAATATTAACTCATGTGGGCAACAGTTTTTTTTCCTTCTGGTCAAATTTAAATGTAAGCACCTACATAAGGGCCTCATAAGTGACTAAACATTTTAAATAACATAGAAGAAAGGTTGAGCCTTACTTTGCTGACTTCTTCTCCTTTTCTTTTTCCTCTAGTTTCCTCATGTCCTTAGCTGCTTGGCTCTGTCGGAGAGGAAACATGTATTTGTTAGAGGAACATGTATTTGTTAGAGGAACAGCAGATTAGGCCTTTGGATGCAATATTCTAGTTTTCCTCTGCCAAACTGTATTTCTCTTCTCACCTCAACCTCTGCCATAAAGGCATCCAGTGGGTCATCTTCACTGTCTGAGCCGCCACCTGTCTGCATCTGCAGCCGTGTGGGCGAGTTCTCCGCTGGGATGTACGGCAAATCCACATTGTTGCTGGACTCCTCTTCATCGTCCTCAAAATACCTAGTTGAAAATGACAAAGATGCAGTTTTCTAATTAGTCACTAACACAAACAAGCGGTTGATCTGCAAATAAGTATAAGAGTATATAGGTATAAGGACAAGTGCAAAAGTGTACATATGTGTGAATGGGATATATGTAACACTTACGCATTTTCCTCATCAAAATTTGCTCTTTTTGTCCCTATTTTGTAGAAGGATGGGAGCTGCTGGCTTTTCCCATATCCGCTTGATCCTGGGGGTGCAAAATTTGTTTGAGATTTCGGAGGAGGGCTAGGTTCATCTTTTTTCCCGGCAAGGGAAAATCCTCCAAACCCAAACCCTCGCTTCACACCTGGACCACCTTTGTTCCAGTTCATGGCTGAGCTGTGAAACAAAAATAATTTAAGATTCACGTTATACACCAAATATTGTTTGGAAAAATGGTGGCTTTTATCTTTCTGCATTGTTCCTTTATTGAATGTTCTCAAAATAAAATGTGACTTAGCAATCCTCTGAACTTATTTAAAACTTTTGTCAACAAGGACATCTTACAGCAGGTGTATTTTGATGGAGGATAAGGGTTTGAGGCCATTCTATCAAAAGATCCTTCATTTTCTGACTTTGAACAAATATGTTCCTACTTCAATCAAAAGCAAAGAGAGCGTATTTATTTGTAAAACTTCATAAGCCACTTATTTTTGATTTTCTATTATTTTAGAGGGAAAACACTTATTTTCCTCTCCTTAAACGTTCGTTTTGTGGCTGCTATCCGTTGAGCAGAGTTCTTATTATATGATGAATCTGTAATGTAGTACTGTATATGATTTCCTTTTTCAGCTAACGTATTCATTCTGTTACCCAATCAGTCTATAATTATCAATCAGTCACTTTTTGCTTATTTAGTTGCTTCTTAAAATCAACAAAATGATTTTTTGCATATTTGAGCTTTTATTGACTTTTGTTAAAGTAAATGCAAAAAGAAAATGTAGGTCGTGAATTAGTACGTTTAATAAATGCATAAAGACTAGTCAGACGTAAAAAGGAATATAGAAAAAGGTATATGCATAAAGATAATTAAATATATTAATATACACAAAGGGGTGTGAATAGTTTGTAATAAAGTAAACAGTTTGTCCATGCTGCGTAGCTATATATCTATGCGGCTGTGCAGGTTAAACATAACACAAATAATGCAATATATGCTTGTATTTCACAAGACACTCATGTCCCTGGCTGGAGGCACGCACATAGGCGAGTAAAACAGATCATAATTCAGCTTAACTTTAATGTGTTTTTAAGGAGAGAACGTTACCAGTTTGAGGAACTGACGTAGCATAAAGCTAATGATATTTGCTAACAACGGCAGTGAAAAGCATCACAGCAGTAATTAGCTACTCGCAGAGGATGGTCAATTTGATTTACAGGTACCATAACATTGGCAACGATGTATCAAACAGTTCAAATAATAACGTTAGCATTAGCTCAAGGCCGCAAAATGAGGTCGAGATGGGAGTCTGTAAGGCTAGGGTCGAAACACCGTGAACGTGGGGAAGTTAAGATGCTTTTCACAACCCAGGGCAATACACTATAACAACATTCTATGACTGAATGTATCGATAATCTCGTTAGAGTGGCTAACAGGGAACATTTACCTGTTTCTGCTGCCAGTAAAACGTCCAGTGTTTTCAGAAGACATTGAGGAATCTTGCGTCATCAGTGCGCGCCAAGTTTCTGTCGCCGTTAGTGTGCGACGACGTCGGAGAGCTGCCAAAAACATCCCGCTGGAGAGGATGGCATCTGAATAAGTTATCCTAGCATTTTCTATATTTTGAGCCAAGCATTGCTGTGTTGAAACTTGAATAGGTAAGTGATTACGACGTGAAAAATTAAATTTTTGGTTGCTAGATGTAGTCATGATATCTGCTATAGCTAACGGTAATCTATAATGCTAGCCTGCGCCCTCGATTAGCGAGCCATTAGCAACAACTGAGGTCTGCAGGTGATTTACCTCATATAGATTGTGTTTGTTGTTGCATGGAGTGTTCGCATTGCCTCCATTAACATTGTTGGAAGTGAGCTTTCCTGTATTTGCATTATAACAACAATTATTCAAGCGTGATACAAATTAGCTCTAGAAAAATATACCATCACTTAAAGCCAGCCCTGAGAGATCACCCGACGCCCAAAAATGTGAAGTCCACAAATATATTATCTGTAGTGAGTTTTTTAAAAACGGTATCTTCTCTCTTAGGAATCTGACGTCATTTGAAGGAAACACAAATTCTACTTTTGTTTTAATAGAATATAATGCAGACAGTATGTTTTGCAGTACAGAATGAGTGGTAGCAGGTGTGTCTCTATGTTGAGTTAAAGCTAGGATGGCCCAAGACTGTGGAACAAATGATTAAGCATTGAATCCAAAAGTGAGTTATTACACTCGTATTGTCTGTAATATATGTTTGTAGTATTTGTTTGGTTGTATTTGTGTTTTGTTCTGTATGGGAGACAGTGGATGCATTAAGAACAGTGTGATGAAGTGAAATCACATGCAATTAAATAATAAGCATGGTACAACACTGTCCCACGCAGGAGGAGATTAAACAGATTAAACACTTTATTTTCACTCGTCTTCACAGGGATTCCCTGGGCGTGGTATCATCAATTCATATGTAACATACTCAAGAGGATCCATGTCTTTTCTTGTAAGTGTTTGCCAATTACCTATTTTAGACAAAAGCCTGTTTAAGGGTTACATGTTATCCTATACACATGATTAAATGTACAGTACTTACAGTATGTTTCTTATCTTTATTTCCATTGAAGCTTAATCTTCATTAAGGAAATCGGACTGAAATGAAACCTGACATCTTTTATTGCAAACAGCTAGGCACTTTTGTTATTGTAAATAGAAAAAAACATACAATCTTATAAGAGTCCTGCAGAAACCACTATTCGACTCTGCACTACTCAAAAATAAGAAAAGTAATAGGATTTTAAAACTCAGTTTTCTACGATTTCTTTTATTTTACAGAATAGTTGAGGAAGTAAGCATAAGTCATCTTCATGTTTCTGTTAAACATTTTCTTACTCTTGCTTGAATTTATTTATTTTTTTCTCTCCATGTCTGTCATTAACCCTCTGTGTCTGTCAGCGTTGGGTAACTGAGAAACTGAGTGTGGAGAGCCTGAGGGATTTGGACTTATTTGGAGGTGAGGTCACAGACATACAGACATACAACAAACTGGTTCAGCATTTTCAAACCACTGATTACACATCAGGACCTTAATAAGCACAAGCATCAACATGCTGCTCTAGTTGAAGCTTTGCTCTAAGTGAGTGAGCAATTTTCATAAAGACTGGGCAGTTTGTCACAACTCCTTCTGATAAACAAACAGAAATGAACATGGTGAAGGTAACTGATGTTCTGTGAGCTTGTTTCTGCGCCATTTTATTTAGTGCTTATTGTGAATGTGTATATCCTGCGTGTGAATAGGTTGCATATTTGTTTTTGGCTGTCAATTATTTTAATTTGCCATTTCGAATATATTTTTTAAGGTTACTTCTTGTCTGTGTTAAGCCACATTTTGTTTAATTGAGAAATAAAGTCTGAATTTAGTTTGGAACTTCAGATCAAGAACCAGCGTGGTTTGAGGCCCATTGCTAGTTTTAAAGTTTCACAATTTCAGCTGTATTGAAATTCTTATAAACTTGAGCTGTTTTGTAGCTTTGTGTATTTCATACATGGTATAATGAAGCGCAGAATACTTTCGAGAAGCAGTAGGGCATTTTTTGATTTTGATTTTTAATCAGAATATAATGAGACTCCCCCTCTACCTCTGCCCTACTAACTTGTTCGCTTTTTTATTGTTGTTCCTACTGTATGAAATGAAGTATTTCTGTCACAATATCAACTATGAGTTTCCTTAAAGTAGTATTATTGTAAGGATGGCCCTGAAAGATACCACGGTTTTGAACTCAGCAGATTGTTACACCTCATCTTCACACATCGTCACACCGCTAGAATAACGTGCCATATCCTACACACCGTCCCTTTTAAGTACCATGTTTCTCCCATAAATAATCAGTTTAAGTTGTGGCACATTTGATTTTCTGAATCAAGGAAAAGGTTCTGAGGTGGATTATGCTTTATTTCCTTTCAAGCTTTGTCTCTTTTTCCTGGTGGCAGATTATTGCTTAAAGCTGCATTTTTGTTTAGTGTATCATTTCTGTTTTGGCTGTCCTGTATTCTCTATGGTTTACATAATATCTGGGAAGATCCTGCAGAATTTGTAGCTAGACTGTTTTTCATTTGTGCTTTGATTTGATTAAAAAATTAGTAGAAGTTATCACTTTACAGTGGTGAATGTTTTTAGTCATTTAAGTGCAGCTTCAGTTTATTCAAATCCCACAATATCAGGAAAACTGTATGTTTTGATAATGATGCGTCACTTGGAGGGTGGTAACCTGAAGGACAAAGTTAGTGCTAAGAAAACCAGCAACGTACGTTTATCAAATTCTGTGGCATGCTGCAAACTCCCGCTGTAAGATGCTGCGCTTCCCAGTTCAAGAGCTTCTCTAAACCGATCCTTCTCTTGTTTTGTATTTGTTCATGTCTTTATGTCATTGATGTGGTTTTTCTACCCCAGAGCAAGCTCAGGGACTCTCTCACAGGAACGTAAGTGTGGTACTCCTGCCATCGTCATCCACCATATGCCCTTTGTGTGTGTGCGTGCATGCATGTGTATTTGCGCGCACAGTTTTTTATGTAGAGGAATCCACAACCCCCCTCAGGCTTTGCACATTAATGTATGCATGAGTGTGTAGTGACAGACAGACGCTGTACATGCTCAATGCTCACAAGGACAGCTCACCTCACTCACCAGCGTTCTGTTGGGGAATAGAAAGAGAATAAGTCTGTCTGTCCTCAGTGTGCTGGTTAATGCTTCACTCAAGGTAACTGCACTGTTTTGGATTTTGGTGTCGTCTCACTGAGAGTCTAATGTTGTGTTGTGTTTTGATACCGCCTGTCTGTGCTGAGGGCCTGTTGTAGGGTTGATGGTGAGCCGAGGTTGTCACTCTTAAATGCCACTGTGTTTTCCTCTTCTGTGTTCACGATGGCATTTTTTCAGCAGTAACCCATGTGATTCTCAAACTGAAGATGTTCCCTTCAAACAACGCTGCCAGAACATGTTTGGCTTTGTTTTTATTTCAGGTATAATGTAAGGTCCAGACGGTTTATGTTTGACAAAAGGCACTGTTTTGGCTCCAGTATTGTCTACACCGTTTAGTTTTACCTGTGAGGATAGCTTCTGATTTGTGTGGCTTTGATCTTGATCGCAAAGCCTCATCTGATCTATAGCATAGGATTGTGCTGAAAGGAAGTGCACAGTTGTTGTTTTTATTGTGTATCGTCTCTCTGGTCACCAAGGAAACAGCGTGCCTTCGTTTGCCTCCACAGCTTGCTACTGCAATCTGTCCATTTCTATCATTTAAATAGTGATACATTTATGGAATACAGGAGTCCTCACTTCTAGGTTTAGCATTAACATGTGTTTTTGATGCACATGTCTAAACATTTCTATATATGTCGTTGTTGTTGTGATTAAACACAGGAAGAGATGGGCTCTTAGTGGGCAACACTTCATGATTCTGAATTTGATATTCTGTTAATCCTGATGTAGTCTTTCTGTTTTTCACTGTGAAACAAACGCTCAGTTATATATTGAGTGCATCTATGGTGTTGGAATATGTTAGTATTACTAGACCTTCAGTAGACAATTGTATTTGCTCAATATTTTGTAATGTCTTTGGGTATTGCTCGGGCTCACGTTAACACCTTCACGCTTGTCTTTTTGTGATCTTTTAACAGTTCTCACACATACACTACCCTTCAAGAGTTTGGAATCAGCTGTTGGTTTTATTTCATTTCTTTTTTTATAATGGCTATTTAAACATAGATAGAAAATTCACATTCTAAATGCAAACAACATATTTTAAGAAAGGTTTTGCAAAAGCAACAAATTGCCTGTTAATTCCAGCTTTCTATAAGCATTATTGTGATCTTAATACTCAATCAGGAACATCTTGCTAATTAAATTCCTCACGTTTTGATTTTAAGCTTCCAGTTTATTTAGCCAATGACTGCTGATTTATTTTACCTTTATTAAACTGTTGCTCGGCTGTATCCTTGTCTCTTTCTGCCTTTTCAAATGTCAGTAAAATACGCAAAACAAAAGACAACAATATAGAGTAGACCTCTAAGGCACCTGTGCCGAAACAACCTTTTGTGGCAGAAGATTACAAACTTTTGAACGGTAGTGTAGGAGTGACACTCCGGTAGTAGTCCTTCACCAGCCCTTTATCACACTCCTGCACTGTAGACGTTACGTCAAGTGTCACTGTTCATCTTCAGTCGCTCTGTTTCCTCCCTCAGGCCCATGAGGACCGCCAGGAGAGTCTGACCTCCCCCCCACGTCGGGACACCATGGGCAGCTTCCTCCCTGACAGCGGCTCCTACGAGCTCCTCACCGTTATCGGTATGTAAACGCAGGCACACACCTGGACTTGGCTGTTCAAAGTGCACAGGTTTCATTCATTGTTTTATTAGCAGGAAGCAATCAGAAATATTAGCAGCAGCAGTAATAATAATAAACAGCCTCTTGTGACTGATATTCTCTAATGCTAATTCTCAGGAACATTGTATTCAAAATTAAACTAAAGACATTGTGCAATCCACATTTATTTTGATAATAAGTAATACAAAAAGAAATCTATTGCCCTTTTAATGAATAGTATTAACATTGTTAGATGTTATTCTTTTATTGTAGATTTTGGAAAGTAGATCAAAGATACTGTTGCCAATCTATGCATTTTTCCTAGACGTATTCTCTCTGTTTTAGGCCGGGGCTTGGATGACTTGATGACGGTGAACCTGGCTCGATACAGGCCCACCGGGGAGCACGTTGCTATCCGACGGATCGACATGGAGTCATGCACTAATGACATGGTCGCCTACCTGCAGGTCAGCACTCCATCACTCTGCTGTGACTCAGCTCCCCCGTAGTCCTCACCTCTCTCCTGTCTGAAATCAAATCCCCTTTCTTTCATCTCACTGCTGCAGTGGGAACACTTGCATAATCCTTGTGTCTGTGTTTTCATGTACTGTTCTGTCTGTACTGCTCAGCCTCTAATGCCTGATTACATCAGAATGGTCTTTTCCTCTTCCTCCTTTTTCTCGACTTGACCTAATAACACGTTATTTCCTTTTTTTGCGTCCCAGAGTGAACTACATGTGTCAAAGCTGTTTCACCACACCAGTATTTTACCCTACAAGAGTGTCTTTATAGCTGAGAATGAGCTGTGGGTCGTCACTCCTTTCATGGCTTATGGTAAGATGCACATAAAAAACTGTAACTGAATTTTAATGTACGTTGTAAAAGTTGTGTTAGCTGATGTTTGCATTTGGTGGTTTTTTAAAGGGTCAGCCAGAGATCTGATCTGCTCACATTTCGCTGACGGTATGACTGAGCTGACCATTGCATACCTTTTGCTGGGAATACTCAGAGCTCTTGAATACATCCACCACATGGGATACGTTCACCGGTAAGATACACTTCAAGTGTCGAAGAGCTTTTTGATAACTTCACCTAAATTCCAGTTATTTTGTATTCCCGCATATACTTATGCCAGAAAATATGTATTTAAAAGCTGCAGTACTTGTTGGCTGTTAGTCAAATTCTTTTTTTTGTGCTGATTTTTTTTAACCATTGGGCTTTAATAAATAGACAATATTGACAAGCCCATGGCAATCTCTTTGTAAACAGAAGTAAACGTGACATTCAGTGTCTTTGGTTCTGTGTAGGAGTGTGAAGGCCAGCCATGTGTTGATCTCGGCAGACGGACAGGTCTGCATGTCAGGACTACGGAGCATCTTCAGTCTGATCCGTCATGGCCAGAGGGCCAGAGTGGTCCACGACTTCCCCCAGTACAGCGTCAAGGTGCTGCCTTGGCTCAGCCCCGAGGTGCTGCAGCAGGTACAGAACTGCTCTCCTCCACACCAGCATTATATAACTCTGTGACAATACTGTCTCTGGTCTACATGTTTGATTATTCTGTTCTGCAGCCACATTTAAAGAGTAACCTCTCCATGATGCATTTAAACATAATTAAAAGGACATAGAAGTGAAATATGATGAAGTTGACATTCTATATGTGAATGTTTTTTCTTAGAACCTGGAGGGCTACGACTTTCGGTCAGACATCTACAGCCTAGGCATTACAGCCTGTGAACTGGCCAACGGACATGTGCCCTTCAAAGACATGCCTGCTACACAGGTAAGATAAGTACTATACATTGAAAGGTTATGATCTGTGAGCTGTTATCGTTATAAATCAAAGGGCATCAACCCAGTTCGTACCCACACAGATGCTGCTAGAGAAGCTCAATGGGACGGTGCCGTGTTTGCTGGACACCACCACTATCCCACCAGAGGAGCTGTCGATGACACCTTCTCGCTCTGGAGCCGACTCCGGGATCTGCGAGGGTCCAGGAGCCGGAAGTGTTCGCCACTCCAATGGAGAGCCCTCCTCCTCGTCAGGAGGACACCCCTACAACCGGACGTTCTCCCCGCACTTCCACGCCTTTGTCGAACTGTGTCTGCAGCGAGACCCGGAGAAGAGGTTGGTCCTTCTCTTTGTTCCTGCTTAAATATTATGTAGGACCTGTTGCGCGGTATGTTCACCTTTCAAAACACATCTTTTCCTTTTCAGACCGTCTGCCACCACTCTCACAGGCCATCCCTTCTTCAAACAGGTGTGTTAAATACCAGGTTCATCCTGACATTACCACCTATACAAATCCTACTTGTTAGGATGGGTGATCTTGACACTTATCGGGCTATTCTAACATAATAGTCTCTCCATCAACACAAATAATGTCCATAGAAAATGTGTATTTATAGAATTTCTTATTTATTTTTTTTGCCCCTCTAAGATTAAACGGCGGCCTTCGGAGGCGCTGCCTGAGTTGTTGCGGCCCGTGACGCCCATCACTAACTTCGAGGGCACCCAGCCGCAGGACCCTCACTCTGGACTGGCCAGTCTGGAGTCGGGCCTCAGCCACCTGGAGGTGGACGACTGGGACTTCTGACAGTGGAAGACAAAGCGGGGAGACGCGCATGGGAAACTGATGGAAAACTCTCCGAGCATACTGGACAGGATTTGTTTTTGTAATGGTCACCTTGTAAATAATTTTAATCTTAAAACTAAAAGGGGTTGCTGTTCTCAGACAGAGGTTAAAAGCCAGCAGCTGTCCTGCCTCTTTTTGAAGTCTCTGCTTTTGTTATCTAATTATGCACTCTTGCACTGCACTGATGGCCTCTATATATTTCACACATAACAACCCATGAAAACGGATTCCTCTGTTCCTCATGCTGCTGCTGAGGTTTCGGAAGAGGATCTTTGGTTGTAGATGTAGCCGAGACCTAAAGATTCTCCAATGGATCGGTGGGAAGCTGCTGCTAGGGATTCAGGGGAGACTCTACCTCTCTGAACATGGCCCATCTGCTCAGTGAGACCACCCTCTGTACAGCAGATGGAAGGTTACAACTTTGTCCCGATGGTAAAATAATTCAACAGCATGTATACACATTTCTTAGCTCTCTGCTTGTGTTACAGTGTACACTACATCTCATGCTTTACACATTACTTTAGTTGCAGAGGTTAAGCAGTACATCTGTTTAGTTTAATCCTCCAAGCATAGAAGTATGTATTTCCTTGAACTTACTCTGGGTGTTATGTGACTTATGTCAGAAGTGAATGTTACATTGGTGCTTGTTTTGTCTGCATGTACATTTGAAAGAGAGGGAAAAGTGTTGCAAATGTCAATCTTGACTTAACAATAAACTTTGTTCGCTTTAAAGTTTTTAATTTGATGGTATCACACAGTGAAGCAGCTTATTGTCTAAAAAAAAAAGTTATTTTATTCCAAATGTACACGGACAAACACATAAGGGGAGGGTTGAAAAGGTTCAGATGCTGCTAATCCTCCTCATCTGATGGTGGCTGGTCTTCTGCGGCTTTGCGTTTCTCCATCTTGGACATCAACTCTGAAATAACAGAAAAATGATAGTTTTAAGATTAAGCTACATTAATGACCCGATCACAGATAAGCGGGAGAAGATGAATGGATAATGTTATTGGTATTATAATATTTGTAAAAGTTGATTTCAGTGGTGGCTGTAAAGAATTGCCTTGGCTCGTGAAATCAAAGCTTTTCTTAATAACTCTAGAGCCTTGTAAAGATACACAGTAAACAAAGATATGTCAAAAAGTCAAATTCACAATTTTTATCCAACAAAATATTCCGTTTCGATTCATTTGTGTTGAAGATTTAGCCTTAAAAAACAAATGTCACTGCAGTAAACAAAATATATATATTCTCCCGTTTGCTAAACACAACAATGGGGTACATAGCTCTATTGACCATTTGGTTTATCCAAAATCTAACCATAAATTACACTGATATAACAAAACAATATTTTTTGTGGTAATGATGTCATTAAATATGACAGACATCTTCAAGTGTTAAAAAAAGACATTCTGTAAAGCCCGACTTACCCTTAGCAGGGTTGAAGACACCGTTGGTTTGAGTGTTGCACACATAGCAACGCTTGGACTTGCGGTAATGCATAAGAGCACAGGTCTCACAGAAGTAGTGCTTACACCTGGGAGACATTCAAATGGTTAACTCACTGCAACTGGTGGTGAACAGTGAAGAGGAAACAGGAGAAGAACTCACTTTGTGATGATGGGATTTTTGAAGGACTCCCTGCAGATGAAGCACTTAAAGGGCAAATCTTCATCATCACTGCTCACTTCGTAGTTCTCCTCATCTAAATGAAAGCACAGCATTGTTCAGGAAAGGCTGATGCAGGCACAAAAAAAACCCTTATGATATCCTGTTCCTGAACTTACCGTTTGCTCCATATCTGCCCTCTTCCAGTTCCCGCTCAATCTGCCAGCCATGTTTGTAGTCCGATCTGTCGTGGAGGAACTTGCAGCTGTCTGATATCAGGAGAAGATGAAGAACACTAAAGTGAATGATCTTGATGTTAAAGAGTTACAATTATTCAACAGACGACTTCGATATTTTAACGGTACAACAATCATACATACCTCCAAAGCCACAGAACCCCGTCTCCTTATAGTCTTTGCAGATGTCCGGCTGGTAGTCCCACCGTACTGTGGCTCTCAGGTGGTCAGGGGCTCGGATTGGTCCTTTCCTGTTGATAAAATATATGCATCATCACCAATATACTACATTTTAGCATTGACAGATGAAGCGTTTATTTTGAAAGCTTGTGCTTAATATGTCTCGCCATAGTTCTCACCTGACCATTCCAGAGGAGGCGTTGCCCATGGTGGTATCTTTCGGCTTGATGAATTTTTGGTAATTGTTAATACCGCGGTAGATTTTATCGTCTTCTTTGCCTTCTAGCTCCTGTCGAAGGAGAAAAAAGGATTGCTCGGTTAATAGGAAACTTCATTACTACATCTACTAAATTGATTAGGTTTTGTCTGCAGGATTACATGAAACTGTCAACGTGCCAACATTTTCATGAAAAGGTGTAGCTTAGGCCAAGGAAGAACCCATTACATTCTTGAGTGGAATGAGGTGCAAGTACATCATTTTAAAATCAATTGAGCCATATTTGTTCACACTATGCCTAAAACTGTATATTAAAAAAAGAAAAAACATTGTTTATGTAAATGTTATTTACATAAAATTGTAACTTCTTGCTTAATTGTGCCATGAAGAACAACATCATATAATCTTCTGTACCTCCTGGATTTTCTGACTCCTCTCAAAGATCGCCTGAGCGTCGTTGTCCTTCTCTGTGTCCATCTCATAAGTGGCAGTTGCACCCCTGTCATCAGGTCCCTCTGGTTTCTTTTTTGGGGGACATCGGGAGAAAAGCAAAGCGTGAGAAAGATGCCTGCATGAACATATTGTGGCTTCACAACACCAGACAGTGAATGCAGAAAAACAATCAGAGCACAGACACACATGGATGGAGAACAAGGCTGTTGCTCCACTGCAGCAGCTAGGAGGTTACTATCCTTGCTCATTGGCACTGTAACAATGGGTTTTACAGGAGAAATATGCTTCTCCTTCACTTTATGGTTACTGCTTCTAATACAAAATACAATAAGAACAAAAGTCTCAACTCACTGCTGACCGTGTGGACTTGTATGCAACAGTGATCTTCTTCGTTTCTTTTTCTTCTTCATTTTCACTGGACGATTCTTTATCTTTCTCCACCTTCTTTGACTAGAGAGGGAAAAGACCAGGGCTAGGTTATTAAACTCAAAATAATATATGATTACTGTTATTATGATTGTACCTTTTGAATCATGGGATTGCCTCGAGTGTCTTTCTTTCCCCTTCTGACGACAGAGCACTTGTCCTCATCACTGCTGCCATCTGAAACAAAGTTTCGTTTAGTTAAACTTTTGTTGTTAAAGTAGCTGGGGAATTTTCACAGTTTGGGAGTGGTAACTTAACTTAGGTCAATCTTGTGAATACATCTCTGCCAATGTCTGTATCATTCATCTATCAAGCCGCAAAATGCATTCGGTGCCAACATGTCATAATCCTAAAGATTCCGAGGAAGCGTGAACGCAGCTCAAATGAAAAACTGTTTTTTAAAGCTACAAAATGTTCCCAAACTTCCCGCAGTGTGCAGGTTTGCTCCCATCTTTCGAATAGTTTGTCTATTTCCAGCTAAATGTAAGTTTTATTATCAAAGACAGGGATGCCTTCACACAAAACATCTCGCCATTTAACGTTGAGCTAACGTGTTTACATTTCAGAACGGTTCACAAAGCCAAAGCGAAATCAAAACGAGATTTTTATCCTAAAAAAAACTCTCAAACTATCTTATTGATGAATTAATACCTTTATCGCTGTCGCTCGCTTTTCTTTTTCGCCCGGAGAACTTCTTAGTAGATTTTTTGAACAGAAAAGCGCAAGGATCCGCTTTTGGCTCTTCAGACTCCGCCATCTTCCCTTCACTGCCTACATAAATAAATAACCTCCGTCACCACAGCGCCCTCTGGTGCCTCGGATCCTTTGGACAGTGGCCTTCTGCTGGTAAGGAGGATAATTACTACTAGCCATAATATATTTGATTCTAAACCCAATTATACTCAAATATTTTTTGAAATACGAATACATTAAACAAAAATGTACTGTTCTGTTCTCAAAGAACGCACACCGTCTTGAAAATTGACTCCATTTACTTTACTTTTGTTCTTATATAGCCTATTTAATTTTTTTAATTTCTTAATACTTGTTTTTGTGTAGCTTTTGCTTGAATGAAACACACATAAATGCACAATAGAATGGGAAAACATTCACCACAAGTACAAAAAATACTTGATGGCATCATTTTCCTCATCTGTGCCAACTGTGCGTGACACTCGCTGAATACAACCGGAAATAGAGATAGGAATAAAGGTATCAGTACAGTAGAACCTGAGGCCGATTTTATTTTGAAAGTTTTGACCGGAATTGGTACATTTGATCACCTCTCCCTTCACGCTGTTCGTCGCTCTCCCGTCTTCCTCCTCCAGCTGCAGCATCCGTGGCTCCCCGCAAAGGACAGCGGGTGTTTGTAGGACACTGGGCCCGCTGAGGGAGGGGTCCTGGCCTGGGCACGGATCCCGAAGAGGCCCCGGGGCCGCCGCTGGATGGAGTCGGGCTGCATTCACACAGCAATGGCTATGGGTCTGACATCGAAAAAGGCGTCTGCTCGGAGCGTCGGTTTGGAGCGGAAAAACCTCATCACTGTTTGCAGGTATACATCACGACACCCTCTATTTACAGCATCCTCTGCAAGAGCCAGTACTTGCATGCTACCATATCCATAATTGTAATATGTCTCCACAGTGGGGGATATACATTTTTTTCTGGGACCCAATTTAGATGGACAGTAATGCGGGCAAATGGACATATTTCTAGAAGTGCTAAGGAGGAAACAGAGACAGGTGCATGTTCACCTTCACATACCCCGCCATTGCACACACTTTTTGTAGACCTACAGTATTCAGTTCATGTTGAATGTGTTCCTTTGCATTTTCCTGGATGCACTTTGTTGTATTATTGCTCCAAATTCCATATTTTGATATAGCATTTATGCAGGATCTCTTTTAAACCTTTGTTTAACAGGTTGATACACCTGCTTGATTCCTGTTTGTACTGATAGATACAGCTGTAAAGGATAAACAATGAGACTAGTGGGTTAATATTGTCTGTAACACCAGACCTCATAGCAGGTTTCCTCCTCCATCACAGTGAGGTTGTGTGTCTGAATGGGACAAGGGCATTGGGAGCAGAGCAAGGACTCCTCCCCCATCACCAGCCATCAGCCTATACACTACAGTGCGTGCTTATGGATGTGATGTGCAGTCATAGAATCACGGTCTCATACAGCGATCAGAAAGGTTAGGGATGTACACTCATGTGCACCAGAGAGCTGAGAGGTCCTTTAACTCACCTGATGAGAGGTTCAGTTGCTCATGTAAATCACATCCCTCTGATTTAGTGTTTAAATGTTGCCCTGCCAGTGACGAGGATTCATCCACATTGGTGTCATGTTTTTCCTTTTTTCGCGTATGATTGACATTTTAACTCATTTGTTGTGTATCATACTGAGGGATGATCTAAGTCAGTAGTTTCTATCCTTTTTTGACCTTCCTTAAAATTTAGAATGTTCATGAGCCAAGAGGACATGAATGTAATGTACCCAATACTCACTTGAAATATAAAAGCACTTACCAAAAAACTATTCTAAAAACATTTGGTTTATTTCGTGTAACATTAATAAAATTAAAGTGTTTCATTCTTATCTCTTTATTACATTTCTGTCATTTTGCCTGTATGTGCTCATAGAGAAAAGTTTGCTTAAAATGTATTGTAGTATTTCAAAAAATATCCTTTCTATGAACTAAATAGTGTCTGAAGGACTCAATGATATATTATTAGTAATTATCATTTATTCTTTTCTGTGTTTTAGTCCAAAACGCATACATACATCAATGTTTTGCATTGATATTCCAACAATTTCAATCTAAGTTATATATTATTCTCAAAAGGGATACTGAGTAGCTGTTGTTTTCAGTATATCCCTTTTGATGTCAGATAAGTGAACTACAAATAAACTGTAGTCATGAAAAGCTTCTTATTATTGTCTCAGTGTTTTATAAAGTACTGTCTTTAATTCATATTGCTACAAAACTAATTTGTGTTACTGTTATTCGTCTATAACATTTGTGAAAAATGTCTTCATACAGCTAGTTTTGGCCAACCAACACAACTGTCTGTCCATAATTATGTTTAATAGTATTTGAATGTCTTGTGATATCACAAGAGCCTTGTAGGAATTACATTTTTACTTTCATACCTTTTATAATGCTCTTATCAAATGTATTATTGCATCGATATGGGTGTTGATTTGCACCTTGACTCTAGTCAGACTGGAACATAATTACTTGTGTAGAATTTGCAGGCGTGGAGCCAAAATGACATCATGCATCCACACCTCACTCTTACCTCCATTCTGTTTTGTTGTCTCTTATATACAGTGAATGTACATAGTGACAAACTAAAAAAGAACCAGACACTTAGATAGACAAACAATCAAGCGTTTTTATTCCAGTACCTTTCTATCCAAGGTCCTATCTGCATTTTAGTGACAGGTACAGTAAAGCTAAACACACAATGAAACACATAGCATGCCTGCAAAGAAAGAAAAGTATCACAATTGACTTACAAAACAGAGAAAGTTTAGCAAGAGAACAAAAACATTGTTGTTTTCGGGTTGGCCTGACCCTACTAAGACCAGTTTAATCATTTAGGCTTTTTAAAGACAAACAGACAAGACAAGACATAAATAAATCTTAAACAGCTTTCCATCAGTAATGCTTACTATATTTTCTTTCTATCTTCTAATGAACTACATGACATTGATTAGGTTCAGTTGGAGGGCATCTTCTTCCAGGCGTGTCTGTGTCGCTGCATCTGCATCTGCATGTACTTCCTGACCTATTTAAAGCAAAATGTTTTTCTTCTTGATGCCATTCTGGTCAGAGATGATTCAAGTAGTCAAAGGTTGTTTGTACGATCTCTTAGGAGAGAGATCCTGAATCAGCAGTAGCTGTGCATTAAAGCAGACTGGGCGTCTTGTTGGTGCAGCATACAGGATCCAGGCTCTGTGTTGCTGCTGAGACACATTTACCTTCACAGCTTTAACTGCTGCCTGGCCACAGTAACTGAGCTGACGTTAGTGCTAGATTAGTGCAGGCCAAGCCTTTATTTTCCCCTTATAATTGTTTGTGTATATATAAAGTCTGACCTCTTTTCTCTCAGTGTCACATCATACACGTTTAAAATACCATCGGCACACACAGAGATTAACATTTCCCAACAAGTCGTTGGATATAGTTATATGTCTTTTTGTGGAACTTTAGAAAAGGGGTCTTTTTATGCTTAGGTCTAGGGTCCAGAAATGTCACATGTTCCCCTGTCTGTTAATGGAAGTCATAACAAAAACAAACTGGCATATCAGAAAAAGAAAGTGTATTCACATGATCTGGCATAATGTGGGTCACCAGCACCAGGCACAGAGATCTGCTCAATGTTTCAGTGCCTTGTGTTGACAAGTGTCATCTTAAAAACACATATGCACAGCAATAGACATTTGTGTATAAAGGAAAACCTGATCAAACATTTGCATCACCACAGGGAACAGTTTCAGAGACTTAAACACACAAAAATATTTAAAATTTAGAATAACAAGGTCAGGTGTACACATTTAAAAATGTCTATTAAGCAGAATATTCAGGCCGTTTTGAGTTTATCCAAATGCTTTCACCAGAACAATACTTACTTTTTATACTTTGACCTTAAAGATTTTAGCTATAATAATGTTTAATACCTGACCACATCAGAACAAATCAGAGGGGCTTTGTCTTAATGACTTTAGAAAGACTTGTGATATATTTATCATGTCCATGGTGACAGCAGTGTCATTGTGATCTGCAGTGTCTCTGCTGTTGCCACTAGCAACAGGTTTATGTAAACATGGCAGGGCTGAATCTTTCTCTTTAGTCATTGGGAATTTCCATCCATCTATAGTTTATTTACCCGAGCCAAAACATTGTTTAACATCACAAGGCAATATGTTTAAAGGTGACTTGTTGATCTGTGATATATTTAAAATGTACTGTTTTGTTGCTTGTGTCTGGCTAAGTGGTCCATGACAGGAGGAGCAGTGTTGCCGTGGACACAGGGAACCTGAGAAAAAATAGATAAGATGAGTGAGAGTTGACAGGTTTGATGTAAGGTGTTATCCCTTTGCTGCTCTCTGTAAACAAAAGGGACAGGGAGGGTGGCGATGTGCTGCATATTTGCTAAGGTTTGAGCCCTTCTGGGAGCGTGGCCTGAGAGGAAAAGAAAATGTCTTGTGCAAATCCCAAACAAAAGTAAAAGGTGCCACATTCCCCCTCTCAGTTTAATTTGAAAGAAACAATAAAAACAACTATTTTCATGTCTGGAATGACTATGTGTTAAAGTTCAGATTATGTGCAGCCTTTTTGCATTCTTCCCATATTTCCTATTTACTATACCATCAAGTATGTGAAATTACAGCAGTAATATATGCAGGTATGACGATTTTTTTAATCTCAGCATAGGATCAGCCTTCTCTCCCACCAGCAATTTCTCTGTGACACCCTGTTACTCTTCATTTCACCCCACAAACACCTGCTTTACACTCTCATCACTTCCCCGCCCAATGCCCTCACTGTCCTCACTGCACATGAATCCCTATTCACCTCCTCTGACCATGAAACACTTTGCTTGGACGCCAATTCACAGACGGGGCTGGTGAGAGAGAGACACACCCTGCTGAAGTTGCATTTTTAAGTCTTTACTATTTTTATTGGGCCATTATTTCAAATTTCTGGTCTTAATATTTATCAAAGCGCACAGCATTCTTTATTGTGGCTGTCTGTGCAGATCCAGTACAGGA